AGTGTGTGTGTGTGGGGGGGGGGGGTTGTACCCATATGGCATTTGCTCCCGTATGACTTAACAGAACTTAGGCGCTATAACTTATAAGAATATTATTATAAACAAATATGTATTAAATATTCTATATTAATACAACATATGCTACTATATATGTATTATATATACTATTTATTTATTTAGTTATTTATTTATCCTACTTATAATAATTATCGCTATATTTCGTGATATATATTAACTAGCTAATTTTAGCAGTCACAGAGACTGGTAATATATATGGCGACTGAGCTGCTTTATTGTGTTTGAGCAGAGTTGTGGTGGAGTATACATAATATCAGGAGTAAGATAATAGAGGATATTATCTATTATCTTACTATTATATCTTATATCTTATCTATTATCTTACTCTATTATTTTACTCCTGATAATATGTACCTTCCAGTACACAGCTCGGTTCTCAGCTTGAGTTCATATTGTGTCATGGCATTTTTTAGGGACAGCATGTATCGGATTTTCGTTTTTTTTAAAGTACAAATAATTTATTGCTCTATACAATTTCTGTTGCTTTCTTTTTCATAATTGTTATCCGCGAAGCTGTCAAATTTCTTAGTTTTGCTAAAAATTCAAAGAAATTTCCTTAGAAGTGAGAGCGCTGCGACGGCAACTGATTTAGCAAACTGCATGCAGTGCACCTTCGTACACTCAGGCTGAGAATAATATATACATATTGTATAATATTATGTATAATTATAATTATTGTTCTCAGCACTCAGGGCAGAAATTGACTCCGGATTGAGCCCATGAGCGAGAGCGCCATCTGTCGTGGAGTTTGCTGATTTAGAGGATCCATTCAAACGCCAGATTGCATGACGGGAAGAGCTATGTATTTATTTTTCTGCATGATGTTATAAACGTGCAAAATTCTCCTAAATACACGTCAAATTATGGCAAATCTAGAGAAGCTTATTAAGGCATTTGAAGCACTTAAAACAACACAACCGACCGACTCTGTTACGGATGAGAAGCAGAGGTAAAGTTAAAAACAAATTTAAAAGTCGGGGGCGGCATCATCACTGCTACTGACTAGCTCTAGTACTACTAATAGTACTATTACTATTAGTATTACTAATACTATGTCTATACTATAGCCCGCGTACAGTTGCCGCTGGGCTATAGCATCAGCAATTACGAGTGCTCGGGACCAACTTACTTCAGCCAGTCAGCAGGAACTATGTATTTCCGCACGTGGAGGGGTGGGCGGGTTGTGTTGGTTGTGGACAAAAACATTGTTGTTATCAAGTAACAAATTAATAATAGTAATTTGTTCATCTTTCATGACAAAACTAATATTACAATCTTTTTTGATAACAACTATGTTACCTGATCGTTACTTGACAACAACAATGTTTTTGTCCACAACCAACACAACCCGCCCACCCCTCCACGTGCGGAAATACATAGAACTTCCTGCTGACTGGCTGAAGTAAGTTGGTCCCGAGCACTCGTAATTGCTGATGCTATAGCCCAGCGGGAACTGTACGATTACAGTTCTTTAGTCCTACGGGTCGTTGGTCCTACGGGTCGTTGGT